CTAATATTAAATATCTAGTCCAAAGTCACACAGCTAGTTTATCTTAGAACCAGAACTAGAACTGTTAACTTATGACTATATGTACAATACTGTTTTCACTACCACATATTCTGTCAAGCTAATCTTGTTTCACAAGGTTCTTGTGAAAAAAAGTTTTAAATTTTGAGAAGGGAAAAACATTTCTCTCCATCCTGTTATCTGTCTTTTTACTTAGGTTGTTCAGAATGAAGAAAATGAGAACTGTTTGAAGAAAGTGGATCCCCAGCTACTGAAGATGGCATTAACTCCTTACCCTAAGCTAAAAACTGCTCTCTTCCCACAGTGCACTGCTCCTTCTGTCTTGCCACCTGATATTACACTCTACCACCTTATTCAGGTACAGTATTTAGGTAGCCAGTATTTAGGTGTATCAGTCAAGAGTTCAGCCAGAAAAACAGAAACCACTCTATGTCTAGGAGGGCATTTAACATTAAGGAATTACACAGCACAACAGAATGGAAAAACCAAACATGATGGTGAGAAAACCCCAAAATTAGCAAAATAGGAAGTCATAAGCACCCCTAAGGCTTCAAGAACAGTGCGAGAAAGTGGTGTCATCAGAACCCAGAGCTGGAGCCATCTCTGATAGCTAAACTTGCAACTAGGCTGCCTAATGGGAACTGAGAACATAGAGTGTAGGGCTAGGAACTTGGAGGACATACCCCAAGAAAACAAAGAAGGGAGAAAATATCTTGGCTTCTTCTCTTTTCCCACCTTTAATCTTCCACAGTGTCTCTTGTGTCTGTATTTGTTTGATAGCCAAAGGGCAAGGGAGGTTGGGAAATGCAGTTCCCTGCAATGCAGAGCAGAGTGGAAAGGGTGGCAGTGGATCAGAGAGCAAACAGACAGTTGACCAACATACTTGTCTACGGCTTTCATCAAAAGCTGCTCCATTCTGCCACTGATAATCTGTGTCTGTCTCTTCTCAGTGAATCAGGGCTGTTTAAATCAATGCTTTTTTTTTTTTTGAAACAGAGTCTGGCTCTGTTGCCCTGGCTAGAGTGCTGTGGCATCAGCCTAGCTCACAGCAACCTCAAACTCCTGGGCTCAAGCAGTCCTCTTGCCTCAGCCTCCTGA